GTCTCCTTCAACCTCATCTGTCTCCTTACAAATGTCCTTTTGAGTGTCTCCTTTAATGTTAGCTGTCTCCCTACAAATGTCCTTTTAAGTGTCTCCTTCAACCTCATCTGTCTCCTTACAAATGTCCTTTTGAGTGTCTCCTTTAATGTTAGCTGTCTCCTCCCATAATGCCCGTTCTGTTTCCTTAAATGCTGCGTTTTTCCTTACAAATGACCTTTTAATAAGTGTCTCCTCAGAGATGGCCTCTTAAAGTGTCTCCTTATGGATGGCCTCTTAAGTGTCTCCTTACAGACAGCTTCTCAAGTGTCTCCTCACATGCGGCATCTTAAGTGTCTCCCCACATACGACCTTTTTAGTGTCTCCTTGCAGATAATGTCTTTGCCTTTTAAGTGTCTCCTCAGATATGGGAAGGCCTCTAAAGTGTCTCCTCAGAGATATATTATGCTTGCATCCATTAAATGTCTCCTCCCTCTCTTCTTGCTTTTTAATGTGTCTCTTTAGTTTTCATATTTGTTATATTTTTTGTTATTTTATTGCTCTTGTGCTTCTTCTGAGGGTTTTGGGTTTATTTGTGCAGTATATTCTGTCTCCTTTATTTGTATGATATATTCTGTCTCCTTTTGTTGATTTGTACGATATATTCTGTCTCCTTTTATTTATTTATTTTTGTATTGCGTTGTGTTGTGCTGCTGTGCTGCATGCATGCAGAGGTGGTAGTTGAGGTGTGTATACAGCTGCTGACGGTGTTGGCTCTGTGTGCATTTGCTGTTGCTGCCGGCGTTATTGTGGGGTCGATGCTGGGTCGTTCAACAGTAACACCGGGGATGGTGCTGCTGTCTGTCTCCTCTTTTGATAATCTGTCTCCTCCGGAGTTGATTCTTCCCGATCCCAAAAACCCCACAAACACCAACACCACAGCTGTTCTTAGAGCCCAATTCGTTGTTACGGCGCCTGTACACAACAAAGGTGAGCCTCTATAGCTCCTCCTGTCTCCTCCTCTGTCTCCTCCTCTGTCTCCTTCTCTCTCTCCTTTTCTGTCCCCTTCTCTGTCTCCTCCTCTGTCTCCTCCTCTGTCTCCTCCTCTGTCTCCTTTTCTGTCTCCTCCTCTGTCTCCTCCTCTGTCTCTTTCTTTGTCTCTTTCTCTGTCTCCTTCTCTGTCTCCTTCTCTGTCTCCTCCTCTGTCTCCTCCTCTCTCTCCTTTTCTGTCTCCTTCTCTGTCTCCTCCTCTGTCTCCTCCTCTGTCTCCTTCTCTCTCTCCTTTTCTGTCTCC